GGTATGCATCTCATTAATGTACATAAGGTACTTGATTATGAAAGTAAATAAGGGTAAAATCTCAACTATTCTTAACCTTTTTAACTAGTTAAGATTATTCATGTTTCATATATTTAAATGAATGTGAAAGGAGAGCATTCTAGCAGAATCGAATAAACATCGATTTTTAAAATATGTTAAAAATCGCACGAGTTGACTACATTATTTATTTATTGACTAGAAGACTATTATTAAAAATGTAAAAACATAATTATTAATTATTTTTAATCTAAATTTAAATAGTTTTCTTTAAAAATACTTGAGCTTAATCAAGGTTTATTATATAATTAAAATTGTTGGCATACCTTTGTTTTATCGTTATGATTACTGATTCGCCTAGGACTGGCCCCGCACGATTATGACATTCCTGTGCGTGAATCTGTTTTTTAAGTGTATTCCTTACAGCCATGACAGATCTAAATGCAACCTATATTCTAGAAGGGAACCTTTCCTTACATGAGGTTTTTAATTAAAATTTAATTCTCTTAGGCTTCTAGGGTCATCAATTTCGAAAATAATTCATCCCCATCTCCAATCAGGAAGGCAGTTTCACCAACTACAGTATGTTTTGTTTCTCAATATCCTATTTTTAGTCGTGCAATTCTCAATCATTGCTTTGCAAGACTAACTTTTTAGACACTAGTGAACGAGACCGGCTTCTTTTGGTTTGATATTTTTTCTAATTCCTCCTAAGCCACTATTCAAATCTCCCGAAAAGTCACATATTGCTGAATGTCTTGCGCCAATATCTATTCATCGAAGAAGTACAAAGGGTAATACTGAGGAAGATTGTGAAATGCGACATAAAGCTTTGCATGTTCGTCCAATTCGTTATATATATATTCATCTTTATATAGCTTCTACGGGAATTAACTTTAGATGAGGACTACGGCATTTTTGTTTCAAATTCACAAGTAATATCTATTTTTCAACACCTATGCTGCTCAAATTGTACACAAATATATGTTTATTTCTTATTAATCATCGCTTCAACATTAAGCCCTCAGTAAAATTCTGAACTTACTCCTTCTATTGAGTTGAAAAAAGTCTCTGTACATTTTTACAATTGCTTATGACTTTCCTTGTTTTGTCTCCAATATTCTGCTTATATGTAAGCCTAGCTCCTTCTTTCTTATAGGCTTTTATATAATTAGATATATTTTTATAAAAATTATTCTGCTTCTACTATATTTATTTGATACAATTCACCAAATTGTTTGCATTGCCTAAAGGGTCTACATCTAATTTTGTCTATGTCCCAGTAATTTTGCTAAGGACGTGGCGAAAAGTGCAGCTTATTCATTATGTTTCAATCATTTATTTATATTCAGTTGCGCTCGTTGAAACAAGATTGGCTTCAACTCATAAATCAAGAAGCCTACTATTTTTGAAGCTTATCATCGATTTTATTTTTGTTTAATATTATTTGAGTCGTATTTAGTATGAAATTTTATCCTCATTAGGCTTTTATTCCAATTTTTACTATCTGATCCAGTCGAAGACATCTCGTTTACCAATCTCTCAGCATCTTATTTCCAATGTAGCTGCTTCAACTCCCTGTCACACGCCTCTCATATCCGCATCATGTAAGTTGTTATTTCTTTGTCTGATGCTTTAACTAGAAATATTTCCACTGTTTCACTATACATTGTTTCTTCTCTCTTAAACACTGTTATTTTAATTCTATTTTTAGAAAAGGCTCAAAAAACATAGTCTATCCCAGATCACAATCATATATTGCTTGTTTCCTGATGTAGAATTTTTTGGTATATTATCTATACAATCTTTCCTAGCGTTCTTATTTTTTCATTTATTTTCCTCATCTACTCTTGTCTATTTTTTATTTTACTTTGCACACTCCACATATTCAAGCTACTGCATTTACAGAACCACAACGCCTGCACAAGCAATTCCCGCCCACCCCTCTGCAGTCCTCGTTCACCTCGGCCTACGGTGATCCTGCTTCACTTCTTATCCGCGCTAATTCTCCTTCACTTTTCCCCAAACCACCTGTTTCTCTTAAGACCACCTTTTCGACCCATTCTGCAACTACCTGTACAAAAGAGAGGCCTACAGTGGCTTCTTTATCACGAGTACACGATCCTATTAAGAAGACGCAGGTTACTATTCCTCCTGCCTTGACGCCTCGCGTTCGTCAGTTTCACGAAATCCACGGACCTGGATCAGTAAGCGAATCAAACCCGCACTGGCTTTTATTATTTACCCAAATTTTAGATTATACTTTATGCCAATGTATGGATGTTTCTTTCGTATTTCGGTTTTAAAAGTCTTGAAATTTCAGGAATAAATACATCATACGTGTTTATTTTTTCTTATTATTCTAATTCAGCTTTCGGATGGAGTTCAACTTCTATATATGCACATACCATCCTTGTTAAAATAAATAAAACCTGTGCATAAGCGAAATATACTCCTAGTTTTTATCCTCTTAATTTATATGCTTATGTTACTTGCATATATCATACTAACCTTTCATCGAACCATACAATTTTATTTGTTTTAATTAAATTTGAATGATGTATCGACCCAGGAAGGATACAATTATTTTGCACTTTCCTCTTAGGCTTCTCATATTTCATTAGCACATCCGATGTCAAATATTTCGCTTTCCACGTTTTGTTCATGTGTACATTCTTTTCCATAACATTTCACTGTATTACACTATTAAAATTAAGCTTCGTTTACTTTTATAAGTAGTTTGTTTCAGACGTCTTGCCGGCCTAGAAGTCGGTATCACCACTGATCTTTGCTATTCTTTTCAAGTAAAGTCTATAACTGATAAACACTTATGATATCTTCTGTCCTGATAAATTCATCTACCTCATACCGTATTTCGATCCCTCTCTTTCACAACCTTTCGCTTGTTTATACTGGGTTACTCCAAGGGTATCCCCTATTTAATGATACTAGTGAG